CCCAGCCTAGTAAAGAAGTTGTCACTGTCTGCTGGCGTCGTGAGGGCGGAGTCCATGGGATTTGCCGGGGATCTGCTGAGGGCCAAGCTGTGAGCATGAGGGAACCAGAGGAGGCAGGCTAGAGGGCTGGACGGGGCAGGTTTGGAAGGAGTGCAGAAGCAGGCGTTTGGCTTGGATGCGTGAAATTTAAAAAGCCTCCCAGGCACCCAGGCCGCTACTCAAAAGACAGGTAGCTTGAGTCTGGGGTGAAGGTCTGGGAGCTCTAAGTATCTTGAAGTCAGGGGGAGCTCACCAAGGGGGTGCGTGTAGGCAGGGGAGTGGGCGGGGAAGGGGAGAGAGGACCAAGGGCTGAACCCGGGCCAGCTGTGTGGAGCCAGCCACAGAGAGTGTCCACACCCTTGGGAACTGGATGGCAGGAGGGAGGGGGGACCAGGGACGGGCTCAGGGTTCCGCCTGACCCGCTGGGCCATGAACCCGAGCTGAAACTCCGCAGGTCGCCTGGCCGCCCTGAGCACTGGCTCGCCTGTCAGGCCACCACGATGTCTCGGGTCTCCCGAACCAGTCAGGGTCAGGGTCAGACACAACCGGAAATACCTGGTTAGTCTCTTTCCCTCGTTCACAGCCGCTTTGGCAAAAGGTTCTAAGTCTTCTCGGGGAGGCTGGGAGGAAGATGAACAGTGTAAATATTTGGCAGTGCACCAGGTCCTTCCTCAAGGAAAGCTGATTGTCCATTTTTTTAGGAAGTTGATGAGCTTGTGGTTAAACACAGTCATTATTTAAAATGAAATCATATACACTTACAATTCAATAAGTCACAGTAAAGACAAAGGTAAAAACACTGAAACCTGCCACTTCCTAATTATTTTGTTGTGTTCTACTCTTGTCTATGTATGGTGGAAATAGTTATGTAGTGAGGTGCTACTGTGTGTCTCGCTGAAACCCAGAGTTCAACATCGTTGGGCGGGTCACTGGAAAATGACAATTGTGGGGGGTATTTACACCACAGAAATCAGCAAAAGCTGCACATCAGAGTTTCCTTCATGGTTTTACTGATTGTCTAGACTTCAAAAAGTGCTGGAGAAAGGTTAACAATGCCACCTGACCTGAAAAATGTGCCGGTCATTACCTCGTGGTTAGCACCGAAACGGAGGACGTGACCTTCCCGTGTGATCTGATTCAGCAGAGAAGTTGCTCATGCCACTGATGGAGTGAGGTGTAGCATACATCTAGATTATTTCACTGTCCTCTTATTCATAAATGCAAACAAAAATATCAACCAACATTTATGTCACACTTCAGGCTTAATGACAATACATGGATTGGGGAAAGAATGAGCATATGGGGACCCAACCACACATCGTGGCTGAACTGCAACCACGCGTTGGCTACGGTCACGAGAGGGAGTCCTGTAGGGATCCACAGGCTGAGTAGAATTTACAGCACCTCTCGCCTTAAAGAGTCCTATGTATGGTATTTTTTGTACATTGTGTTATACGCATCACCTCTCTCAGTAAAATTTATAATGAGTTTATAGATGCTTAAGACACCACCAGAGAGATGTTTATTAAACACTTGCCAGCACACCGCTGTCTGGAATTGTGAGGGGTGGTAAGAGGGAAGTCAGAGATGAGGCCAGGGGCTCAGAGGAGAGCAGTGGAGCCTATGTCCCAGCGGCCCAGCAGGAGAGTGTTTCGAGGAACAGATGACCATCTGGGGCAAGTTCCTCTGACAGGTCAACCAGAGGAAGAAGAAAGAGGACCCTGGGACTTGGTGACAGCAGTTTCCATGGCAGGGTCAGAAGGAGAGGCTGGCTATAGGCAGGCTGCAGAGACGATGGGACAGGATTGGAGGTGCGAGTCCGCACACCTCCCAGGGTTCCTGCAGAGGGAGTGGGAGAAGTAAGGGCGTCGGGGAGGAGGCGGCTTGGGATGGGTGACATTGGCCACCTATCTGTGTGCTGGGTGCGAGAGGGTGAGCAGGGCAAGGAGGGTGATGCCCTGGAGTGGGGGAGGTGCCCAGGGAGGGCTGGTCTTGGGCTCTCCTGTGTCCCAGGAGGGCAGGCCTGGCCGAGGGCTGGGAGGTAGGCAGGCTGGGAGACCAGATGGTGGGAGGGGGAAGGTCGTGGGCGCTAAGGGAGGAGGGGGTGTGACGTGATTTGGGAGAGGGACAAGGGCCTCGAGAGACGCTGCAGGACGGCAGAGTGGTGCCCGCGTCCAGGGTCCCTGAGGTCAGCGGTCAGGAGGCCAAGCAAGCAGGTACCGAGGTGGCCTGGACAGCGCTTGGGCTTTGTGGGCAGCGCAGGAGGGATAAATCAGAGCAGGAGAGGAGAGGGGTGGAAGGTTTGGAGGGGGTACCCGAATGGGCTGCTAACCTGGGGCTTGTAGGGGTGCCATTCTGGGTCATAACACGGAGGAACAGGCTGAGGCCAGGGTCACTGGACGGGAGGTCAAGGGACTGGGAGGCCGGGACCGCACACCATCCTTGTGGCCACTGAAGTATGAACTGGTGACAGCGGAAGGCTGGAGAAGTCACCCTCGAGATGGGGACTGAGTGCTGGTGCGCAGGGGTGTCTTCATGGGCGGTGGGGGCGTCTGAAACATTTTGCAAAGCTGGAGGTCTATGGAGTCAAGAAAGGCGATGGCGGGGCGCCGTGGCTCAAGCCTATAATCCCAGCACTTTGGGACGCTGAGGCGGGAGGATTGCTTGAGCCCAGGGGTTCGAGACTGGCCTGGGCAACACGGCGAGGCCTTGTCTGTACCAAAAGATAAAGCAATTAGCCGGGCATGGTGGCATGCACGTATAGTCCCAGTGACGGGGAGGCTGAGGTGGAAGGATCATCTGAGCCCAGGAGGTGTAGGCTGCTGTGAGCCATGATTGTGTCACTGCATCCAGCCTGGGTGGCAGTGAGACCCTGTCTCAAAAGAAAAAACAAAAGATCTGGAAGAGGAATGGGGAGCAAGGGGAGCCCTTCCCACCTCTAGGCCCCTGGGGGGGGGTAGTAAGGAGGAAGCAGTCACCATAGAGATGGCCGCAGGGGAGGCCCCGCCCACTGTGAGCGTCAGGCCCATCTGAGAGGAAGGCCAGGGAAGCTCTGAGGCGTGACTGAGCACGTCATGCGGACGATGATGTCCCATCAGATGATGAGAGCCCAGGAACCTTGGGTTTCCATAGTCACTGACGGACAGGATGATGGAGGGCAGGTAAGAGGGGGCACGCCTGGAGGTGCCTGCGTGGCTGGTGAGGCCAGGAGTGTGGAGTGGGAGGTGGGGCTTGCCTGCAGCTTGGGAATGCTGGGGGCCCCGCCCACCTCTGCCTATGTAAAATGGGGGTAGTATTTGCTTTGCGGAGCTGCAGTGAGCACCAAGGGGGCGCTGAGTAGGACTTGTGATTCTCAGATTTATGGCCATCGTCACCATGGTCAATGGAGGGAGCTTTTTGATGGAGACAGAATGACCATGGCAGCAAGTTGGGGGGCGATCTGGCTTCCGCAGAGGGTTTGATACTGGGGTGGTTTCTTAGGGGTCCGAGAAAGGAAGAAGGCAGGCAGGCATGCAAAAGGACCCCTCCAGGCATCTCTGTGGCCGGGTGGACCTCCGCCAGGGGACTTGACCTCGGGTGACAGCCATGGGGCTGATGGCCCTGCTGTAGGGGCTGACCGTGGAGAACCCTGACACAAGAGGGAGGGACGAGCCCCATGTGTAGTTTCCTTGTCCAACTTCCGCATGGGCCAGGGTCTCATGGAACCCTGGCACAGAGAGACCCTAGTTGGTGTTTATTCTGGGATGGTGACGAACAAGTTGCCACCCCGGGCCCTGCTGGCTCAGCTCTGGGTGCCCGTAGCCCGAGTCTGCTCTGTGGGCAGGAAGGCCGGCCCAACCAACTGTGGCTGGGAGCAGCTGGTGCTGTGAGGAGTAAGGTGGGGGCTGGCAGCTGAACACCCCAGGCTGGGGCCCAGGTGGATGGGGGCTTCTCTGTCTCTTTTCTGGATCCCAGAGCTTAGTGCACCGGGTGGACACGGAGTACCAGGTGGGTGGGCAGAAGCCACATTGGGTACTGGCATTAGTCAGGCTCTAGATCTCCATGCAAGCACAGATGGGTCGAGAATCCCCCTGCAGAGAGGAGGAAAAGAGAATCCACCCATTCCCGCAGAAGTGTTTACTGAGCACCCACTATGTGCCAGGCACGGCTGTAGGTGCTGGGAAGCTGCAGTGAGCAAAACAGATAAAACCTCTGCCCTCGTGGAGCCGACCTTCCAGCAGGAGAGGTGGATGATCAACAGGCATGATTAGAAATCAGAGGGGGAGGGGGAGTAGGGGGTGGGGGGAGAATGGACAAGGCACAGTATTCAATGGAGTGATGGGGGGGCTGCCGTGAAGGTGGCATTTAGGCAGACCCCGGATGAGCGTGAGAGTGCGGGATTGAGCTTTGAGGATTTCTGGGGGAGGCACGGTCCTCACAGCAGGACAGCCAGTGCAAAGGTCCTGAGGCAGGACAGCCTGGTGTCTTCGGGGCACAGCAGGAAGGCCAGTGCAGCTGGGGCAGAGTGAGCGGGGTGGGGGGGTGTAGGGGAGGAGGGCGTCAGGGAGATGGCAGGGGGCACCGAGTATGCCTGTGAGGACCCTACCTTTTACTGAGTGTGACGGAAACCACTGCTTTCGGACAAAGAAACACCTTCTGCCGCCTGCAGGGTGGGACTAGGGAGCCCGGTGAGGCGAGTGGCGACAGTGGCTTGGACTCTGGTGATGGAAGAGCGAGGGGGTTAGCTAGGTGGATTTGCTGCTGGTTGGAGAATCTGGAAGAGTCAGAGAGGAAGGGACTTGGGTGTGGAGTAGGGGTGTCCAGAGGTTTGCCACCTATGCCCCGGCTGCCTGATACCCAGTCTAGGGTGGTCTCCTGGCCAGTGGCACTGCCCGCCGCCCCCCAGCCCGCTCGTTGGGGGTGCTGTGGAGCGACCTGGCAGTCCCGGCCCGTCCTAAATTCCCCTCTCTTTTCTCTGCCAGTGATGTGCCCAAGGGAGCCAAGACCTTTGGGGTCTCTGGGAGCTCCAGAGTGGAAATCTTCATGGTCTACGATCCCTCACGAGTGACTGAGCCCACCGGCAAGGCCCGCTGGCCCCTGGACGCCGACGTGGACGTGGTCGTATCTGTGGACACAGTCAGTAAGGACTTAAATGACCTCAAGGTAAGAGGCCACTGCTTCACAGTTAGAGCCCTCATGGCATACTCCTGTTCACAAAGCAACCCCACTTAACCAGCCCCACAGAGCTTCTGCACTCACATCCACACATCCTATCCTGGTACGACTCCACAGATGCCCAGAACACCCAAACCCACACCCACGCCCAGCATCACGCATGTACACGCAAACACCCTGGTGAAAATGCAAGCCCACCTGGTCACCCCTCAGCCTCACAGACGTCCTCACATTCATCCCAGCATCCAGTCTTCTCGCAGATCCCTCAAGAAACCCCCACACTCTGTAAGCAGGCATCTACAGCGACACCCGTGCACACGTGCGCACGCACGCCCAGGCCTCCGTGTACGTGCCTTCCACACCTAGCGAGCCTCCTCTTCCATGGTCCGCCCTGGGCTCAGGTGATACCCTCACTCGCTCCAGCCCCGGGCACTCACCCCACACAGTGACCCACTGAATCATGGGCACAGCCTTCCTCCCCCAGGGAAAGGGCGGGAACGGGCAGCTGGGAGCCTGCCGTGGGCCGGGACCTCACCTCTTCTGCTAGCTGGGGGCAGGGCCCGGTGTCCTCGCTAACAACACGACCTGAGCCAGGCTCGGTGGCTCAGCCTGTAATCCCGTGCTCTGGGAGGCCGAGGTGAGTGGATTGCCTGAGCCCGCGGGTTCGAGACCCGCCTGG